GGGAACCACTGTTCCGCGTACGTTTCACGTATGTATAGCCTGGATTTTTGTTGTGCATGACCTGTACGACACTCCTGCTCGGTCGCGCGGCTATTCAGGGCAGGCGCTGGCGCCAAAAATGAATTTTTTTTCTTCTTAATAAGGATCCCTATAGTACAGGGAAGTCATTATGGTAATGTAATGAATTTCAATGTCGTAACGCCAACGTCAAATCCACTAGATCAGCGAAGCCGAACATTCCGAAAAAATTATGAAGGGATTATAAGAGTATATTATATTATAAGAGTATCGGGTATAAGTGTTACATAGAGTATAAGCGTACATATGTTTAGGCGAACTATGTCCTGTTACTGTAAAAAAAATGAAGTCACCTTGAAAGCCAATTAGAATATAAAGAGCTGGTTTCCCGAAAAATGATAAGAAATCAATGCCTGCAGCATGCATGATGGCGAAACTGCACGTTAGCGTGAATCTCGTGATTGGTTGTTGCTACCAGAGCACCAATCACAGAAATGTCGCGCACGTTAGGTTATTTTTAGCAGAACTCAATAACCATTATTCCAGGGAGTTATTCCACTACATAGAAGTAAGAATTTATTTTTTTTGTTTCAGATACACAGATTTGAACGCTCGACGGCCAAGTCTTCGTACTGACCTGCTTATCAATAGGTCAAAGACCTCAGTGATCCATCAGCACTTTTCTCAACAACACTCACCTCAGCGTCAACGACGAAATGCCGACGGCGGTCGATGCGTACTTATGTAAAAACTTGTTGTTCTTTAAACGGTAAAGGTATTTTTGTCCTATGTCAACCCATTTGTCTACTTGTTGGTTGGTCTATCATTCAGTGCAATCTTAAACAATCCGTAGCACTATGGAAGCTAACATATCGCTCTTCTATGTTTCCTACACTATTTAAGGCGCTATTCCAAATGGGTGGGACCTTTTCGTGCAGCGCAAGCAGTACAGTTGGAACACGACAAAAATCTTCCCCCTTACTTATGTATCCTTGCGGTGCAGCTCGGGTCCCGGGGGAGGGGGACGTTTTGAATTTTCGCTGCTTCACTAGTTCCGCTCCTACAAGTCTCCTTTTAGTGAAACCTGTGAACTCTTGTGGAAGCTGGAGCAAGCTCGGCGAGCCACCACTAAAACCTTTCAACCCATGAAAAGCTCTCTAGATGGGTGGACACGTTGATGGGAAGTAGCGAAGTGCAAAATGCCCCCCCCCCCGCCGTCGTCAAACCGCTCCTATCCCTGCTTCCGAAGGACATGGCGCCAAGGTACGTTAGGGGGGGGGGGTGAGTAGGTCCCTGTGGCGACTCTGGTGGTCTGCGCTCTTGCCCTCCAAGCTCTGCTAGCCATACACCAAAGCCTCGTAGACGGAATATAGAGGTCTACAAACTAGTTGAACTTAATCCCTTTAATCGGGTTACACGGCTTCTGTCAACCGGATATTCTCTCGCTACAAGAGTCCAGAGCTATTCCCTCATTGCATCTTTTGGCCGAGCTTTTGGAAGGAGGGGAATAAGGAGGAGGGAAGAGAGAAGGAAGGAAGGAAGGAAAAAAGGGCAGAGGAAGAAAAAGAGGAAGAACCATGGAGGCTCTGCGGTTGACAGGTATCCTGGGACCTTGGGATCTCTATCGTCTGCTTGTTGTTCTATGACCACTGTGACCACACGCATTCAGCCTTCCAGGCATGATAGGTGACTCACCCTCCCTGGAACCCATCCCCTTGAAAAGTCCCATCCTCGGACTAGCCACATTTTTTGCACCCTCTGATACTTCGACAGCCGCTGCCATTTATACGCCTGTTTTTCAGCACTTTGCAACAGGACCATGCATAAGAGTTCGAATAGTTACGCGAAGGGCGCTGCCGCTTTCTTCTTACCCCAATGATCTAGCGCCTGGCTTACTTTCTGCACAAAAAGTACTGGCCCATCCAGCACGGGGCAGCCTGGTTTATGAACTTTTTTTGCGCCTTCCATCTCTAAAAATCGTCCCACATTCTACAAAAAATCTCGGAAATGAATGTACAAACAAAGCTGTTGACAGTATGCAGCCTCAAACAACTCTTTGTGCATTGCATTGAGATTACCGTAATCTGCACGAACTGTTGCACGAAAGCGCCCTGCCTTCGCTGGAGTAGCGCCCTATTCAACTTCATACTGTACAGTTATTTATGTTACTAATTTGTTTACAAGTTCTCAATGGTGCAGTAGCTAAGACAGAGTGTTTAATGATCTCGGACAAACGTGTATGATAACTAGCACAAATTATATCATTATCAGAGTTTATTCGATAATTGGCCGGTGATAAAAGCGTTTTTTTCTCATTTTGTTGCACTGCACTGGAAAACTCACACGAATGACGTCACAGTTTTATTATCGATTATTATTATTAGTGTTATTATAGCAGTAATACGGACAAATTGCAAGAGAAATGTGCAACGGCATTTCATGAAAGCTTGACCCGGTTTGGGAGAATGAAATGAGTAAGGAATGAAAGGATGACGAATGGAAATGACAGAGTAAGTACTATTGTAGGACTTCTTTATCTGCCGGCACCAGAGAACGTCGGGGTGTATTGGCAAGCTTCATAGTCAACTGGTGAGATCATGTTGAATGCTTTTGTCATCACATTGATGTAGTCTGAAAGATAACCATGTGTTGCACCGAATTCCAATCAATAATCGATCGACACGCTTACTGTTGTCCTCGAGGAACTGCAGAACGTTCTTCATATGTTCTTTACGGAATCGTTCTGGATCACGAGCGATGACGAACACTGGGAAACGAACCCAAGTCGAGATGATGGCGTAATCGTACTGATTGTACTCATTCAATGGTCCCTTCTTTATTACCCAGACTGAAAATGCCATTAAAAATCTCAGAGATCAGACTGAATATAAGTAGAACTCACATGGCTCCGCATCAGGTGAGTTACTGTTGTGTAGCACGAATTGGCCAGTTTCTCCGGATTTGAATCCGTATCCAAGGGCAAATCTAGATTGGAAAACAGAAAATTGCTTTGAAGATTCTTTCCGCAGTCATGGGAGGAGTCACTTGTATGGCTACACTTTTCTCATTGGTGGAAGCTTCTCCTAATATAGCCGTAGCAGGGGTGTGCCAATGAGGAAGCCGTAAGGGTACAAGTGATCCCACCCATATAAATAACCTATAATGTGCATTTGAAGTGGATTAAGGATTTTCATGGGTTGTTTACCTGGGTGAGCCATTGGGATTTCCTTCGCGGTAGAACTTCAGTGTGGTAAATGAAGGCGAATAAGTATTGTTGGTAAGGGCGCCGACTGAAAGAGAGAAAATTTGTTCTTTTGCTGCTTGTGATACTCGATGATCTACAGTCATGATCCCTGCAAGCGATAGGGCGTGTGACGGGACGCCTGTTGGAGCGCAGCCAGGGCGTTTTTTTCCACCAATGACGCCATCCCGAGCCAGCTACAACTAGTAGGATCCTTGCCGCCGTCAGACGCCCTATCGTTCGCAGGGATCATGACTGTACTCAGTGAAAAGTAAGTAGGACGTACAATGAAGAACACTGCAGGCTTCACGAATTACATGAGGTGAATTGATCACTTGGAACCATCGGCCCATCATTCTGGCGACATCCACATTTTCAGCGGCTGGATGAACGGCTCTGAACCAATTTTTTAACGATATCTCTGTAAAAGTGCATTAAAGTGTAAAATTAGCGGATCACCTGAAAACGTCCTTGGCCAAATTCTTGGCCGAATCTTTTGGAAGGATACGGCTGATAGACGATCCGAGAAGTGTATTTGCTGGTGGGATCATCTGAGGAAACAGCTGCCCAACCTGGAAGGAGCGACAATTGCCCATAAGGGTTCCCAAAAATGGATAAACTAATAAAAACCTTACCAGGTAATTGAAGTTGCTGAGACCAGGAATTGTATTCACACCCGGAATAACGGGTACATCTTGTGGTCCGGGATAGCCCGGTACGGGAATTGGTGCCAGTCCAGGAATTTGACCCGAAGCGATTCCTTGTAAATCGACACGATTTGCATTCGCTTCGGCAATGACAGCATTGAGATCATCGGTCTTGAATATGTGATTTCGAAAATGTTAAACAATTTAACCCTCATTGGTAAATACCTGATAAAGAGCACTTGGTACGGGTGCCCTACGAATACCCCTGTCCTCTTTCATGTTGATTCCAAGACGGTTTAGGATAGACTCGGCTACTTCGCCCACCTTGACCAGGTCAGGCTTCTTGGATCCAACTTCGCTCGACTGAAATAAGTAGAAAGTCAGTTTTCGACAAAACAGCGCTACTCTTCATTACAATGACCTAATTAGCAAGACAGTTTGACTGTTTTTCAGTCGGTGGGCCTTCTAACCAAGTACCTTTATGACTTTACTGCGAAACCTCAAGAAAGGAACTGGTTTATTGAGAAGCCGACTGCAGTTTTCAATAAAGGATAAAATTGCCAGGAAAGGTAAGTACAGGAAATTGTGAATTTATACGAACACTTTGTGAACGTTAACGTGAAGTAACACAAACAAGTATCTAAACTACAGTAACTTAGTCAAGGTGGAAACAAATCTGATAATTGAAGGCTCATTCCAACTGAGCGGGGAGAGAGTTACAGTTTTCTTCTCAACTTGCCCACCAACAAGTAGGAGTAATTATAAACTGTAGGACTATGAACTCTTTTGAAGTTTCCTTATTGCGGTAACTGCTGTTCTACGTCAAAGTTTCGTGCTTTATATGGTTGCAAGAAGGACTGAGGATTAAAAGAACCGAGCCCTAGGCAAGTGGCTCGAACATCCCTATCCGTTACGCCACCAAAGCCGCTTTTACCCTTTCAGGTTGGCGGCTTTTATGCCGCAGTCTTACAGCACTCACGCATTTATGGGGAAGGTTCGAGTACCGCCCGGTGTCAGACTTTTGCCCATAACTTGGCAGTCTTGCGGTAACTGTGAACTCTTTCAGAATTTCTCTTCTAATCTTCGGAAGACGGCTTTAGTGCGCCGAGGCCTGGAGGAACGCCTGTGAGATAGAAGAATGAGGATTTCTGCCTGAGCTAAGGAGCCGGGTTGGCTGAACCATTTGGAGCTGGAGGTGGTCCTCCCCACCTGGATCTCTTTTGCTGGACTCTTGTCAACCGAACATGCTCTCGCTGTGAGTGTCCAAACATATATTCTCATCGCATCTACTGGCCCAGCAGTTGAAGGGAGAAGGAAAGAAAAGGGAAATAGAGAAGGAAGGAAGTAAACGAAGGGAAGAGGAAGAAAAAAGAAGGGGGAGGCTTGCGGCTGACAAGTATCCTAAGATGGAATTTCTTCATTCCCTGGCTCGTAACATTTCGCAACTTTACAGAATCCCCAGAAATCCTTTCTCCACCCGATGGAACTATTCGTGACCTTTTTCATCCCAAGTTAATCGTTTCAAAACATTCATTAGTGAACTGAAATGAATCGTAGCTATCGGTGGTGTTCCAGTTTGGAACGAGTGTGCTCTATTTCGACAAATCCTTTCACTTGTGCGCAAATGGGATTTTCAGCCATCCAATATGAACAGTTACGATTTTCCCTGACAAAAATCTGAGACGTTGGAGACAAATGGAACTCATGAAAAAGTTGACATGATTGAAGAGAAATCATCTCCAGAGGATCTGACGCAAAAAAATGAGAGAAGGAGAACCTTTATGTGAGAAGTGGCGCCGTTTCAACATTTTGGGCTAGATTGGTACCTTACCAACCCGGTAATAGGGCTATCGGGATTGGAATACGGATAGATTAGCGTGCCCAGTGATCTTGGGCAGTAGAAGGAGTACGACAGTAATAGTTACAATTCAGCTGTATGCAACTACTCGATTGTACGTCAGGTGCCCTATCGCTTGAGCTACAACGGACAGTTGGAGTTGGAGCATATGGTTAAGATACTCTCACTCAATGCTAGAGACTAAGAGCCTCTGATAATCTGAGCACCAACTTTACTGCTCGGGATTTGGAAATTCACGGAATACGGTATTTTAGTGGTTAGAAGAAGTTTAATTAAGTACCTACCTTTGTAAGTGTTGCATGATTGGAGAAGCTCTCGAAGGAGGGTGCTTGTTGAGCTGGTGCGGCCGTTACGGCGACGATGACGATGGAGATGAGCGTGACGACGCGACGCATCTCACTACTGACTCTGATGCTGGGGGGTTCCGATCGACACAATTCGGCACCGGATTGGTGTGATCGTGGTGGTGGTGGTGGATCGAAGAGGGGGCCGTACGTTCGGTGGAGGCCTACATTTTCCCCCCGGTTTCACCCCGTCGCTGCATGCCTCATCAATACGGTTGACCTGAAAACGTGTTCGGTGAAGTTCAGTTCATCGGCAAATATCCGCCGCTCATCGTCATCCCATCATGCACTGGAATCGTCGCCGTCAAAAACTGTCGCCATTGTTCCATTCCATAAAGGACCTTTAACGGGATACACGGAAAGTTCCAAGAAATGCTAAGGGTGCCCGATCGGCGCCATTTAGCCTCACTCAATGGCGCCTCTTCAGCAAAAGACCCTCCCCCTCAAAGGGAACTGCAAAAAAAATCTGCGCTTCGGATGGGATTGAAGAGATCGCGGTCTGCATACAGGACGAATTAGTATCACTACATAGTAGTGCAATGACTTGATAGTATTATTACATATCGGAGCTGAGGTTATTTGGAAACTGTAAGTTAATGTTTGTGGAGAATCGAAAGTTTCAGGGTCGGGGAAATAGAAAGTGACAACAGTCAAGCATTTCGTTTAGCCCTTATTCAATATAAAACAAAATAACATCTTCTGAGTTCAGTCCCTATGAAATCGAAGGAGTTACGAATGAGACCCTCTGAGTGAAGGGCCTCCTCACCCTTTAGCTCCTATAGGGCTTCCTTTTTTCAGGAGAGAGAGTTCCCACATGCTATTCAAACCAAGCCTCCATGTCTCTCGATGGAGGTCCTGGGATTGTCCCTTGAAGGGGAGACATTTCAGCAGATACTGACCCTCAGCTAATTTTTTGCTGCGCATTTCACTCGCTCTTGTCGCTATTGCGATGGTTTCGAGCTTCACGCTCATTTTCATTGAGGACTATGTCATACAAGGGTGTCTCCACGCTTTGGAGGGCAGTAGGTAGTCTGGCTCGTTTGCCCCTTCTCGTAGGAGGGCATAATGAGCTGCGCTGTCATTACCAAATGAAACTAAGCAA